GGTTCACCTGACCAACAGGGAGATCTGGGCTAGCATCTCTGCTGAGAGCTGTGTTTTATCTCATTAGGGGGTGAAATGAAATCTCATCTCTGGAAAAGAAACTGAGAGAAAAATGCCCAGTCCTTATAAACATAGTAGGATTAGTGTGTGTTACCTGCTATTCAGTTGAGATGAGCCAAGAGTTCATTCGTTTTCATTTGCTTTGGGAAACATATGATTATGGAGCCATGCTTGTAGAAATTCTTTTAAAATACGAACAGTTCTTCTATCAGAAGCTCACAGCCTGGGTGGGTTTGTATCCCTCCAAAACTGCATGTAAACTTTCATGTGCATGATTCTAGGGAGAAAGCCTGTACTGTACTTCCCAAGTACAGCTGAGAACTGAGAGCTTAGAGATCCATTTGTTTATTGTTTTCATGTGTTGAACACAAATTGACATTCACTATGAGGCATTGGAAAAACAGCAGGAAACAAGACCTTACTTTTCAGAAACTTATTCTGAGGTTTTAACTCATACATGGGGTTGTATACAACCCCCAAGTAGCAATCCATAAATATGTAGACTGGAGTTGATAAGCGACACAGAAAGCAAAAATTCCTGGGTAAAGAGATAGCAAATAAGGGTATTTAAGTGAAGGAGTGTGATAGCCCTGCTAGGGGAATCTGTAGAAACAGAAGGAGAGGGAGGCAGCTCTGGTGGAGGTCTTTTCCTTCTGGTAGAGGCGATGGGTGGCTGGTTCAGGGATTTGGGGTAGGAGCCTGCTGTGAAAGCTTGAAGTCAATTTGGAGGCAGTTGTGACCAGTGCAAGGACAAACTGGAAAGAACAGTGGGAGATAAGGTCATGGCTACAGCTGAGGCCTTGGTCAGGAAGGCTGTGTAGATTTTGCAGAGCCCATGGCTTATATCCTGACCTGGAAAGCCATAAAAGGGTTTTAAATATAAAAGCGACACCAACTGGTACGTGGTGACAGATGCAGCTGATTACTGGCAGAGGCGGGCTTCTGGGGCCAAGGCTGTAAGCACAGAGAGACCACCAGCTATCATGCAGAGGGTGAGCAGAGACAACCATAGCCTGACGTTGGGCACAGCAGTGGGACCAGTGAGAACTCACTGTGTTCTGTGTGTACAGATAAATTTTAAAATACCTCCTTTAGAAAATGTGGAAGCTTCTCTCATTTATCAGGAAGTTTCAGTCTAGCAAGGACATTAGACATATGCAGGTGTTCTCATCAAGAGCCAGTGGTAAAGACCAGACTAGAGCAGAATGGAGTTAGGTGACCATTCCTGGCAAGATGCAGAACAGGAAATAGAAAAAAAAAAAAAAAAAAAAAGGCTGGAAAGGTAAATAGAAGTTAAACCTCAGTAGCAATCTCGACTCCGTTGAGGTTGGCAAGGAGGCAGTAGGTTCTCAGATAAACAATGAGTGTGAAAAAAGATGCTACGGGCAGTTAAGACCGAATTCAAGCCAGCTAAGTCACTGCAGCCAGCCACAGCACACAGCGTAAATGTGTTAGCACGGTGAAGTCTCAGAAGCCCTCAAGCACACAGAGGCAGGATGAACTTATTCCGAGAGGTCACCAGCTCTAAGCAAGAGGCAAGATTTGAACCCAGGCGTTGTAGGGGTGGTGGTGGGATTCGAACGTGTGCACACTGTACTTCAGTGCATCCCATGAAGTCAGGAGCCTAGAGATGCAGGGAAGGTACTGCGATGAGTCTGTTACTTCATCCGGATCTGGAATGTGACTGGCCACTCATTTTAGAGGACCACGTATAAGACACTCAACTTCCTTTCATCCCCTCTTCTTAGAGCTGCAGTTATCTGCCTTCCTTTGGCATTTCTGATCTCAGGGTGCGATCAGAGATGCAGGGTGTTTCTTGAATAAATCATCAGATTGAAGTCATCACCTTCTCGGAAGTCCTAAGATCATACTTGTTGTATCTTGAAATCTAACTTGTGTCCATCAGTGACCACTGGCCTCTTTCCCCCCAAAGCTTTTGCTTGGTACTAGGTCAGATTAAATTAGCTCACCATCACAGGCGTGTCAGCATTGTATGGGATGTTATGAAATAAGCTGGTGTCCTGGGAGAGAAGTGCACCTTTTGACTAATTGCTCTGAAGATAATCAGGCTGTAAATAGTCCTTAAATTACCTATGAAAATATGGAGGGTTTGAGAAGCACAAGGAATTCATAGAGAAAAGTGTCTGGAGAAGGCCTGGCTTCATTTGCCAAAGAAGTATGTGCTTGGCCTCTTGGATCCTGACAGATTGTCTTGACAGTTCTTACTTCTTCCTCTGATTTGATCCTAGGAGGTAATGAGCATGGTTTCCATGGGGGCTGTTAATGATGTGATTACAGTTCTGTAAGCCACAGTGCTTGCTGTAGCTTATGACACATGTTACAAAAGGAAATGTAAATGCAAACTTAGCCCTGATGGACCTCCAAGCCTGAAGTGTGAAGCTAGCGAAAGGGGGGCTTGAGATGCAGTCCCGTGGGCCTCAGTGTCTCCCTACTTCCCCAAAGACAGGGAAGCTTTGAGGACTGACTTCAGTGGCCTGCAGAGGAATGGGGAGGCAAGTTCAAAGGAGAGAGTACTGTGCACCGAAGCCAGAGACCTGGGTTTTAGCCCAGGAAGTTTAGTTAAGTTTAATCCTTGACCACCGAGGAACGGGTTCAGCAGCAAGCCTTTTCGAAACAATGGAGTTTCTTCAGGTTCAGTGTTCCCTGACATGGGCGGGAGAGAAGGCCTGGAGTTTCAGGCAGCCCTACCCAGCTCTTCCTTCTCCACTCACGTTCCAGGTAAAGAGCGTTTTTATTTTTGAAATCCAGGTGCACAGTCAGGAGAAGGGAGAAAACAGTGACACCCATCTTTTTAATGAGCATTGCTGCTGGAAAGAAATTAGCATCACTCTGAATTTTCTGTGATGTCAGTTAAATGAAGGTGTTTTATAGCACTTTACAACAAATTAGAATCAACTAAATTGAAAATAAGCCTAAGCAGCTGGGTTAAGTAATCAGGTAAGTGGCCAGTTTCGCTATTTTTGCTCTGAGCTAAAGACAGAATTTGAATTTCTAATGTCCCAGAGGTATGGGACTCACAGTTGGGGGGTCCGGGTCCTAGGGTGATTGTTTAAAGTGCTGGCAGCCCGTGCCTGCTTTTGAGTCAGCACACAACTGCTAGCCACTTCCTGGAAGTCAGCCCTCATGCACATGTTTGTTCACCAGAGGGCTGTGAATTAGTGCAGGGCAGAGCAGTGCTTTTGGCCAAACATTAGTGAGCAACCTAGAAGTAGATGACCCAGAACAAGGCTTTAAATCACCCACATTAGCCAAGAGAGCCTAATGAAAAAGGACTAAATTCACGCAAAGACTTTACAGCCACTCGAGAGATCAGCCCACATCAGTGGGGCTATTCGACTGTTTTTATGTCATAAGAATGCAGGCACCATCTTCCCTTGCTGCAATTTGTGGATAGTCATAGTGGCCTGACATAGTAAAACCTGGCTTTCTTTGCCAGCCAGTACTTCATAGCTGGAAATATCACTCTGTGAGCCAGTGTTTCCTACACCAATTACTAATGATCTTAGTGTCTAGAATCTATTCATGAAGCTTAGTAAGGCCAGCCTCATGGGTGTCGGTGGCCTGGGCTTTGCTCAGTAGGTGTGGCCTTGTATCCAGTTGCATGTGCTAACAGGAAAGAAAAGAGGAGACCAAAGGGGTGGGAGTGGGTAAAAAAGAAACCTTTCAGATTGTTCAGAGTGGAACTAGTGAGAAGGCAGTAAATGCAGATAAAATTAGGCGTATAGTTGTGATTTATGAAGAGAAATAGGCCATATCAAGTCTTTAATTTTTATTTTTGCTCTCCTCTACAGCCAGCAGATTAAATGAAATAAATCTGCAGAAAATCCTTATATCTAGGTTAATGCCTGTCAACCATAAAGAGGAACATTTTTTTCCCACAGATTTTCTTCTGTTTTCTACTTGAAACTCATAGTATGTGGAGGAATTGTACCATCTTCTCAAAGTTTCAGATCTCAAAAGAAATTCAGACAAGAATGATATTCAGCTGCTGAACCAGCAGTTAGTTTTTCTTGTGACGTAGAAATGACAAACAGACTCCCGTTGTTTCGGCTTTTGTTCTAATGGTACCCTCTTTACAGCGGCTCCGACCTAACTGTCAGTGGTTTATTCCTGAGATGTAGATGTGAGAAGGCAGCTTTCAATTTTCATTCTCTTTGCTTTTTTAATGATTCTACTCATGTGCAATTGGGGAGGAAATTTGCCTTCTGTACTGTAGCATCATCTAAATACCAGAACACCGCAGGGACCAGGACCGACCACTGATGGGTCAGCTGACACTAAGCCGAGATCTCCAGTGCTGAACTCTGCACTAACAGCCTCGATGCCTGACTCAGGCACAGTTCAGGGTGGTACATCATCACGGAGATGGATCACTGTGCTCTGGACGCATGTTGGCCCGCCTGAGCTACAAAGGTTGTCTGCTGTATTGTGTTGCATTGATAAAAGTGGGTGCAGAGAATTGCGTGAAATCACAGGCCAAGAGTTCCGACATGCTGACTGGTTATTTCCCAGAGAAGTTTATAGCAACCCTTCTCCTCTTTCGCACTGCCCTCTCCTGGCTAATAATTTTCTTAGTAATGAGTTTTTAGAAAAACCAACGAGTTGAGACTCTGGAGCCGCAGTCGTTTCTCCTTTCCATTAGAAAGTAATTTCAGATTTTATTACAGGAAATGCAGGGTTGATGTACAGTGATTAATCCAGATGCACATAGATAGGAGGTGACAGAAATGATATAAATGGCCTCAGAAAGTATCTGTATGAAAGTAATTTGGTCATTTATATGGACTTTGTAATGTCTGTGAAAGAAATGATTTTGCAGTTTATTGCATCATTAGTCAAATTTTCCGAGTCGTTGATGTGAAAATCCAGAGTTATTGAAAATAACTTGGACACTGTTTCTCTGTGTTTATATTTTACAGTGGCTGCTAATTTACAGAAGATTGTAGATGACCCCAAAGCTTTAAAAACATTGACATTTAAGTTGGTAAGTGGGAAGGTTGGAATGGAAGTCATGTTTTCGTCATGCTGGTACCGGTAACGAATAATCATGTCATTTTATACATGTAATTTTGTTGTTGATAGATTTGGGGAGGATCACATTTTGTCCTCATTAGTTGCCTCTGCCACACTGAGAACATTTTTCTGATCGTGACTGGAAACTCTTCCTTCGTAAATGTAGGTCATTCTTTCCTCATCATTCCTTTGACTGTGAGTGGCCCTTTGAGATCCTCAAAGCCACTTTTGCTCCAGAACCTCTTTTGTACTGCACCTTGACCACAGACAAAATTCAACTTAATTCTAAACAGCACTCTGACTTGAAGCTTTCCTCAGCAAAAGCCAGGTAGTGTAGCTTTTAAAAATAGAGGCCAAATAGTTGAGTAAATGGTTCAGGTAATTGGAAAGGATTGCAGAACAGCTCACTGAAGGCTAGTGAACAAAGACGTAGCAGTTTCACCCCGACTCTGAAATCATGCCACCACATTTTCATAGAGAATAAATATTCTACCAGTTGTTTTTTTTTTTTTTTTTTCAATATGCGCTAGAACATTTTAAGTCTAAGTACAGGTAGATACAGGAGACCGGACAGTGAGCATCCTCGGGTGACCATGAAGCGAGAGTTTAAGTCCAGGTCATCAAGACTGATCATTTCCCTAAGCCATTTTAGCAAGCAGTGTATGAAGGAAGAATAGACGACTCATTTTTCAAAGATAAATTGATCTTTTCAAGCGCCAGTCAGAATGCCACAGCAATTTAAGATCTGGAGGACCAACATGTGACTATGCACAGCTGATCCTGATGACCTGCCTCCTTTGTTGTTCCTTGTGAAAATCAAATGGAAATTTCATGTGGGCCACAACTACTTCCATGAACAACCACAATAAATGCAAGCCTGATGTTAATGAACTTTCTATGTCTTGCTCGGCATCTCATTTCAGAGAGTTAGGCTATGTGAAAGGACTTTGGCAGACTATCCCTGGTAACAACAGAACATTTTGTTCAGTATACGGCACAACAAGGTACTGAACTTGTCCGTGAGGCTGGCCACTATCTCACCTCTACTGTGTGTGGGATTCGCATGCAATTTTGTAAACATGTTTTATTCAAATGGGAGCCTGTGAAGGGAGACTGACACCTTGTGTCGGCCTTTCAGACCCTTCAAAAATAGCCTTTACTGGGGTAAGGCACTCTCCGAAGATTATCCTCATTTTGGATGTCTGCACAGAGACAGTCATTTGAAACGTGCCTGCTGATTCATTCCCATCATGTGTGCATTTACTTCCTCAGAAACAGGAGAGATGTTGGCCCCTCTCTCAGGAAAGTTGTTCTGAAGGCAGCTACTATACCTTCCTGACACCAGGAGGAGCAACAGATACCCTCCATTCCTCGTGCCCTGTTTAGCTTCCAGATTTCCCGGATTATTCGTGATTCCCTCTTCTGTGTTCAGGACCTCAGAGCAGAAGACACTGCTCTCCTTCAGAGCCCATCTCCCTAGCGACTGTCCCCTAATGCCCAGCTCTGTGCACAGAACTGCAGCTCTGGCCAGAGTAACCTCTCTGCCATTCCAAAGTGCTGTAGAAAGTGGCTCCCTACTCTCCTCTTCTCAAACCCTCAGCCCTGCTCATGATGAAAAAGCCCCCTCTCATTCTAAGCTTTGTACATCTCCTGCTGCACTTCCCCTCTGCTACCGGGGCCCTTTGTGTCTTGGAAGTCTGAGGCCAAGTTGATATCCATGGTCACACAGTAGATACTGCAAACTGGTCTTGATACTTCAACTCTGGTCTAGCTCAGAGCCCTTGCTTACTGTCCCATGTTCTCTTCCAGAGGCATCCCACAAGCCCGGGCGTCCATGTATTCCTCTGGATTCTTCTTTTATATGTCTGGTTGTGTTGACTTTGTTTGAGGCTGGGTCTCCCCTGTGGCTTAATGAGCAAGCAAAGCGGCCCAGTACAAGGGAGTCCTGGAAGCAAACCCATGCGTGTGCTCCTCTGCCTCAGTTAAGACAGGTGGCAGTGCGGGTGTTCTCAAAACATGGAAAATGATAGCATTTCCTCCAAAGGTAGTTAGAGATGTTCATTAAAACCAATTTCTAGAATGACTTACTGTTCCTGTCTTAGCCCTCTGTCCAGCTCTTGTTAAAGCCTGAGAGGTTTCTGGATTGTTGTCAGCAGCTAGCCAGGTGAAGGCCCACACACCACAGAGCTAATTTAAACCATGGGCAGCCAGAGGAAACTCAAGGATTATTTTGATGCCTTGGCTTTCGTTCATCGTTCATCAACTTGGTTGTTTTATTTGAAGAATAAAAGATCAAAGCATTCCAGCGGTGGCGTTCCTCATAGGCAGCTGCTGTGGTTCAAGGTCTTTTCATCTCTCAGCTGTTTATCGTGATTCTCATCCTAAGGAGAATGTCAGGGGTCTAGAAATTGCCTAGAGAACAGGGAGGTATCACTGCTGTGTTCTTACCTCGCTGAACAATTTCTTCACTCATGGGACTGTAGGTACTTCTAAAAAGTCCCTAATGCCCAGGTCGTTGGCCAGGTTTTCTGCTGTAATGGCTTGTGCATTCTGGGATTTTAGAACTTTGGGGATTCTGCTTAAAGATGCTGGCACTTTGCCACAGCTGGAAGCATTCTTTCTGTAGATTGGTCAGTTGCCATTCCGACCCAACCCCGCCACTTGGTTTCCCTTTGGTGCTTACCTTGTGTATCTAATCACATAAGAAACCAAAGGGCCAGGGATGGTGCATGCCTGTTATCCCAGCACTAAGAGGGGAGAGGCAGGCAGACCTCTGTGAGTTCAAGGCCAGCCAGGCCTCTATAGTAAGACTTTCATCTCATAAATATCTGTAAACAAACAAATAAATAAAGTTTGCTTTCACCTTTGCCCAGGAAGGTCTGTAGCTTTCTCTGACAGGTATGGTGACCCTGTTGTCATGGCCATGGCTGGGTAGCAGCTTCTCTGCTTTTAACAAAGTGCTTCAGCCAGGAAGCCATTTCAGCTCCAGCATCCTGAGGCTTAAAGTTGACACGGGCACACTGCTTTAGAATTGTTAATTTTTAAATTAGCCACCCTGGGGATTTTTAATGTAGATGAATTTTGCCACTTTCAATGTAGAATTTTAAAAATTGCATTAGTGAGAAAGTGAAATAAGATATTTAATTTGCTTTTTAAAAAATATAAATTGGAATGCATCTAATTAGCATCCGTTTGGCACCTATTTATATGAACATTATAGATTTTAGTTGCTGAAACATAATAACATTATGTATGCCACAGATTTCAAAAACGTTTTGATGATTAGTAACTAAAGGATTTATTTCCAGAGACTCTCAGCTTAGGTCTGCTTGGAGGTTACTTGACTACATCTTTTCCTGAAATGTGGGAAAAGTCAAGACTTTTCCTGAAATGTGGGAAAAGTCAACAAACTACTTGAGAGTTTTGAGCTTTTCCCTTTATTACAGGGGGAACAAGGGTGAGATCTAAGGCCCCCAGCCTGTTCAGAAGGTCCACGTGGCAGCCCTCTGCTTCTTATTCTGTCTAAAGCAAAGGCTGGTCACATGTGGGCCAAAGACCACAGAACTGCCAAACACCTGATGAAATGGAAGTACCAGGGCCTTATTTCAGACCCAGGGCCCTGGACAGATGGGCTCCGCATCACAGGAGTCTACTTAGCTGTTTAAGTGAGAACTGGAAATTCTGAGCCTGAAATTTGAGGACCAAGGCTTCATGGGAAACGTGGGTTTTACACTTCAAGAAGCACTGGAGTAAATGATTTTCAAACTTCATGGTTCCTTGTAATTTCCTGGGGAGCTCAGAGCATCCCAGGCCAAGTGAATCGCCACCCGTGGAGCAGAAATGGGCTTCGGTATATTTTCAAACTCTTCCACTGACTCCAATACACATCCACCTCGGAGGCAGAAGGGTACGGTGTTGGTGCTGAACTCCCACATCTTCAGCTTCTACACAGGCACAGGCAGTTCCTGCAGCCTGCAAGAAAGAGCTAGGGAAGAAGCTTTAGGAGTTTGACTGTATGCTTAAATGGTAACAGCCATGCCATGCGGTGTGGCTGTGCAAAGTCCCTGGGAATTTGCATATTTTTCTTTTGTATGGGAGTCCAAGTCTCTCTCTCTCTCTCTCTCTCTCTCTCTCTCTCTGTTTGGTTGATCCTGAGAATTACTCACCCATGAGTATGATGGCATATGCTTGTAATTCCAGAACTTAGGAGGCAGTCAGGAGAACTGCCATTGTTTGAGGTCAGTGGAGTGCATAATAAGACCTAGGCTTTTGTTTTGTTTTGTTTTGTTTTGTTTTGTTTTGTTTTGTTTTGTTTTGTTTTTTAAGAAGGAAGAAGAGAGAAATTATTAAATTGATGAAGAATGACATAAAAGAGAAAGGCATACAAACTGAGGAAATGAATACCCAAAGTAGCCGTTAAAGTTGAACAAAAAGCATGAAGAGTATAGGGAAAAAAAGTAACACAAGGCAAGGGGACATGGGTAGGAATAATTAATGGTGCAGCTGTGGGTAGGATTGTAGATCTTAATTGTTCTGATCATTCCTTATTATTAACTTATACTTGATATTGTGCAAATACTCTTAACTCTCCTACTTGATCACCGAGCCCTCATGATTAGATGATTGTCAGCTAAGATTCTCTCTACCCCCGCCCCCTCCCACAGGAAATCATTTTTACTGAAAACAACAACAAACTATTGGTATCAGATTCAGCTACTTAGCAGACAACATTTTAAAACCTGACAATATTTGTTGTCGGTAATAAATTGGAATTTTCAAATGAAAATGGCATTTTGGAAAACTTCTATCTCGTGTTATATGACAGCCTCCAAGTTCTTAGAGGCTTTTCTGCTGAGACTGCTGATGGACCATATTAATGACTACAATTTGTTTACACTGTATAACATTCATATTCTGCAATGAAATAACCTTTAGAAGATCTATAAAACTCGATGGTGCTTAAAAATCATACCCAGGTAAAGATCCCCTCAAAGGGCAGAGGGGACCCATGGATTTTAATGGAATGTAACAGAGAAAGTTCAGCGGTCTTGTTTCAGATTCCACGCTGCAGCTAACCTTTCGGAATCACCACTGGGAAAGCCTTAGTATTGCACAAGTGGTATTTGAAAAGGCTTCTAAAAATACCCCCCCCCCCGAATACGTGTTTGTGTGAAGGTGGGCTTGGCTTCACGCAGTTTGGAGCGAGCAGCGTAGAGTAGCAGAGTAAATGCATAAGTGTATATGAGAATCCACCTGTCATCACTGAGCCAAGTGTTAAAGATGGCAAAAATGTTAGTCATGTTGGTCCGCTCAGGGTCTGTGATGGCTGATGAGTATGTGGGAGGTGATGGGGGACTATTATTTTCCATGAAGACTTTTATTTATGAGTTCATTATTAGGTTCAATGAATCAGTAAATATTTTAAAACTGTACATTTTAATTTCTAAGATAATATAATAAATATAACTGACAGAAATGTTTTTAGGATAAGGTTTTTCATACTTTGGGGACACTGGGACCTGAACTCGGGGCTTCATGCATGATAAGTTTGTGAGGTACTACTAAGACATTACTTGAAATATTTTAAACAACTTACTTTAATACTGTCAAAATATTTTAAATTTTCTCAGTTTTGATTTTCGAGACTGTTGGTACAATGATTGCACCCCAGATAAGCATAAGTTTTGGGAGCCTTCAGTCTTTTCATACAGAGTGACTGTGAGTCCTCAGTGTTTGAACCCTGTTTCCTGAAAGGGTCTTGGTCCCTTGACTCTGAGTGATGGCATCCTGTGTACCTGGGCTCCTTGGCGTTTTATCATACTGGGAGGACAAGACAGGGCAGAACCCCTAATCACGTGGCCAGGAAACAAATGGCAGGGAGAAGTGATCTGGGACCCCACTTTTCTCCTTTTAAAGGCACGTTCTCGGGCACCTAAGACTTCCCACTTAGGATGCTGAGGCAGACAGGATATGAATGTCATCCGTAAGCCTAGGTGGGCGGGCCTTCTACCGTTAAAATGGGTAGCAGATCACCACACCTCTGCTGGTCAAAGTCAACTGGACTAGATTCCTAGCAGCATTTGGCACCCAGCAAACAGTCATTGCCTAACGTGGTTCTAGGAGGGGGGCTTTCCAGGAAGAGGAGCCAATGACAGGGAGTGGACGGCCCTCCTGCAAACCAGGCTCTAAAAGCGGCACCGACAGTTTCTTCCTCTTCCTTTTCAGGCTTCTGGCTGCGACGGGACAGAGATCCCTGATGAAGTGAAGCTGATCGGGTTTGCTCAGTTGAGTGTGAGCTGATGTATGTCCCTTGCTGTCGCCCTCATCTGTCCTGCGCCCCTCTCTTCCAGCCCCCTCTTTGCCTCCTTCCTCCCACCCCCTCACTCCCAAACCCCAACAAATAAGAAGATTGTGAAGAGGCTGGCTTCGATGAAGTGGATAAAAATAATAATAATAATAATAATAATAATAATATAAAAAAAAAAAACTTAGAGCACTCTGAGTTCTGCTATCTTCTCCAGCAGTCCACAGTACCAGAACAGGCAAGTGCCACAGCTGCACAACTGTTGCTCATTTCTTTCCAGAAAGCTATTTACTATTCTTAGCAGTCAATTTGGGTAACCCTTGAGTGAGGAGTCTCAAACACACTCAGGTGGTCCTATCTCTTGGCAACAGAAGGAATCTTCTACCAGAAGCCTTTTTCTCCTTTTCCTGTTATATTTCTGTTTAATACTTTAATTGTACACCTGACAATACTGCCTCCTTTATGTTGTACTTAGAAATTAATAGACTTATAAAATTAAGATTTATTAGCCAAACTTGAATTCTAGTTTTAAAACTGACTGTGAATTTTATTTTTCATATATTTATGCTTTACACACCTTAGCTATGAGGGGGGGAAAGTTTTGATGATACGCTTCTTGCAGTTGATCTCTTGTTATTTAAACAAAAAGTTTCAGGTCTATCTTTGGAGTATTTGTAGCTTCTAATTTTTGAAATGACTGAATTAAGAATTTGGATGCTTGCTCTTTTGGTTGGTTGGTTTGCCTAAACTCCGGTCCACAATCCAGTTGTCTCTTGGGAGAGGGAGGTGCCTTGCAAACTTTCCTATTTCGAATGTGCCTGAGGCTGCTTTACTCTGGACGAGTCTCAGATCTAAAACCTGCACTGCATAAGGTGGCATACTTAAATTCTGCTTCATCGGGACATTTAGAATACTGTAAAAGTGTTGCCGTTCTGTTAGCTTGCTAACTACATCCCCGTCTCTGATTCGGCTCTCCTTAGGTGATAGCATTTGTTGTTTTGAAGGCGATAAACTTGACAACACCAGAATCCAAGTTTTACTTGAAACTCTGCAGAATACACAGGTGGCATGAAAAATAATAGAAAGGGTTTTGTGCAATGACAAAAGGTAAAAATGCTGTAAACATTCAAGAATAAATATTTCCAACCCAAGAACCTTCTGCTTGACTATGTATTATGAACCTAGTAAACCTTAGGATTTTCAAATTTGGAGTCAGTACCTTCAAGGAGGTGAGCCCCTGGGATGGTACCATTGCACTTCCCTAGCTAACCCTAGATACGGCAGCTCTTTAATGTACTTTAAAAAGCAAATATATATTACTAAGGAAAGAAATTATTTATAATTGCCTTGTCATAACTGTTAAGGTGTTCTAGAACCATTTGCATACAATTTAATGTAATTCCATTCCATTCTATTGTTTACACAATTACTCAAAGATGACTGCAGAGGTAAAAGGAAAATAAAAGTGTATTGCACAGTGCACTTGTGTCTCCTCCGTCTCGTCCCTCCTCCAGCTGTTGTCATCATCTCCACAGTGCAGTTCAGCACGGTCCCTAAGATGCCTAGCGCAAGCCGACTAGTGAGAAATGCTCCTCAGGAAGATGCCGTGTCTCTGCAGTCCCAGGCCCAGAGAATAGGCTTTAACTGGTTCACTGAAACACCCACACTCCATTTAGACAGGCAGCCCTTGAAAGCAGTGGGGCTGTAGGGACAAAAGAAAGCAATCCCTACCAGCTGCTTCTCCATTCACGTTAATGCTGGGACTGCTGAGGAATGCCCAGAGTAGTTAAGTGACTTATCCGTGGCCCTTCAGGGAGCCACTTGCAAAGCTGGACACCCTGGATCCTGCTTTCCTGACGAAAAGAACAAGTTCTTAACAGTTTTTAGCGCAACTTGTGAATAAGAACAGTCGCTGAAGCTGAAGGTAAGTCCCCGTTGCTGAAGATACCACACACTTTGGACATAAGACACAGACAATTTGAAGTAGAATTGTTCTGAAATCCTCACCTTGCAAGATTAGCTCTTATTGTACCAGAAGGTGCTAGCTAGGAAGGGAGGGAAGCAGTCGCTGGGCCTACCCAGCTGTGACAGCTGTGAACCACGGCAGTGACCAGCCTGGCGCGATATCCGTAGAGGTGCAGCAGTGGCATTTACCTCTTGGAGTCAACCAGCAGCTCTCCAAGGGTACTCGAGGCTCACATGACCAGAGGTAAATCATGCCTGGTGCTGTAAGCCTACGAAACTACACATGGCTAGTGGGGTCTTGGATCTTAGAGGAGAAGGCTATTACTTCCACTTTCCTAAACCAATCTAATTCCAGTCTGCATTCTAAATACTTACCCTCGTATCCATAGATAAACGTATAACTCATCTCGCATCAAAGAACCTTTCTGCGGCAGAAGGTGACCTTATCAGAAAGCCACAACTGGTTAAAGTGCAGAGAATGACTGACTGCGGGTGGTCCTCTGTCCCATGTGACATATTTCCTCTTCAATATTTGTTACAAAGCTTCGATCATCTATAACCTAAGACCAAACCACTATGAACACAACTGATCTCTGGTCTCAAGCTAAGCAGGGAAGGGCGTGTCAGTACATGGAAATGAGACAAAGCTTTTGATAATCCAAGTATTATTGTGCCATCATAAGATAGATCTACAGCTACACACACACACACACACACACACACGGAGGGTGGATGTCCCAGAAACAAGCCCACACACATGTGACTGACTTAAAATCAAACCATACAAGGCAGAAAAGAATGTGTCTTCAATGAAGCTATTGAGAAACTAAGACTCCATATGCAAAAGCATGCGAATGGATCCTTTTCCTATGTTGTATATGGTATCAGCTCTGCGGGTTTATAATTAAAATCTAAGTCATGAAATTGTAAAATGCCTAGAGTAAAATGGGACATGCCTGGCATTGACATTGAGCTTGGCAATCAGTTACATGAATGTAATGCCCAACACACAAACACACACACACACAAGTTGACCTACGTCAAGCTAAAAGGTTTCTACACAGAAAAGGAAATAGTTAGCAAATGAAGAGGACCTAAAGATTGGGTATTTGCAAACCATGTATGTACTAAATTAATATCCGAACTGTACAGGGAAGAGCTAGAAAGCTCATTGTTGAAGAGCAATTGCTCTTGCTGAGGACCTGGGTTCAGTTCCTGGCACCCACATTCATAACTCAGGTTCCAGGGCATTCAACAACCTCTTTTGACCTCTGCATGCACCAGGTGCTCACATGGTGAACATACATACTTTCAAGCCAAACGTTCATGGAATCTAAAAAGAAAAGAAATAGAGAGAGCTGGGTGCAGTTGTGACAGTACACGTCTATAGTCTCAGAGCTCTTGAGAGGCAAAGATAGGAGGATCATGAGTTCTAGATCTGCCTGGGATTGATTGCATACACATGGAATTCACTGTAACAGATCCTGTTCTCAGCACACTTAAAAATAAGTGAAGTATTTGAAGACACAGATGTATAGGTTTTCTTGGTTGTGACGATCATTATACTGTGCATATAATTGGGTACACTTCTGTTCAATTTTCAAACCAAAAAGAAATAAAGGAAATACTGGTCATACACAAGTTATATTAAAGTAGGAATTTCCATTGTCTGTTGGTGGGAGCTAAAAATAATTGCAAGGTAATCAGTATTTTTGTTTTTGTTTTTTCAAAACAGGGTTTCTCTGTGTAGCCTTAGCTGTCCTGGATTTGCTTTAAAGACCAGGCTGGCCCAGAACTCACAGAGATTTACCTGCCTCTGCCTCCCATGCACCACCACACCCGGCTATGAGTTTTAAATTTAAGATTTCCTAAAAGCTGCTATAATCATTCCTGGGGTTTTTCAGCTTCAGATGTACCTTATTAAGAATGGTTACAATGATTATAATGTTAAATTCATGTTAATGTTTAAATTGTGTAATGTAAATGGATTATAAGTGTATATGTTTGTAACATGATTAAATGACTGGCTTGCTCAATCATTTACTGTATCACCCTCTAGACACAGTATCATCTTGTAACCAAAACATTATTCAGAAAAGTGCTTTGTCCAGCCCACAGGAATGGACAAGCCCAAAAAGTTAGGGAAAAGTGTATTTCCAGAATACCCCAGGTATTGCCTAGATGCAATTCTGGCACAAAGAAATTATACCACCAAGCAGCAATGATTTCCCTCTATCTGTTATCTTCTGCCTTGTCCACCAAACATATCTGTAGCTAGTCTTGGTGATCTAAAAGTAGTGCAAACACAATCTGAACAGTTAGGTTATATACCACTGGATATACACCAGCCCAGTGAATGCTGCTTTAATTAAGAACACTCGTGTGAGCAAGGCTCACACAATCAAGAAAGGTACACCTCTGCTTTCTGGTTCACAGTGATGTGAAGAGTCACACAATATTCCTTCAGGGATTCCCCACACACGCAGACCAAGATGGATTGAAACCGTGCTCCAAAATGAATCTTCCCTTGTGTTCTTTTTCCAAATGTTGTACTCGCAGCATCATCAAAGTAACACTTTCCAAAATGAGTCTCCCTGCATAAATTATATCCTCTAAAACAAACATAATTAGTTGAGGATAGTTATTGAGCCCATAACTTATAATTTATTGAAGGGCAATGAATGTTATCTAAACTTACAGTCTTTTATTATTGGGTTTGTTGTTGAATAATAAAAGGCCAGTGACAATTACTCGGAAAGCACTTGTATCCCTCATTAGAATACTGGCTTGAGGAACAAAGATATGTAGCACAGAGGAAAATTATTGTAGAAACTGATTTATTGTTCAAACAGAGTGTTCACTAAACTAATGGGACCATAATCTGTGAGAAGTAGGATAGTGCCCTCCTTTTTCCAGGTCTAGACAATTTAGCATTTTACACTTCTGACAACATTATGGTGGGTTAAGTGACATATGGTTCAAAATTAATTCAATAGTTATTAGGGTGGAGTACATTCAGGTAGACTTTCATG